ATCTATTTTATTATGATTAGATAAAAAAAATAGTAATACTTACAGCTAAATTACAAGTTTTGATTGGAGTAAAATAGGTATAAATGAAATCACATCAAATGTATGTACCAAAAATGAATATTTACTAGTTAAGTAATAAACAATAAGATATGCGTCTATCCGTCGTACACATTAGTGATTAATTAAAAGTTAGCGATCTACTTTTTTTGATCAACATTTGGGAATATTGTATTAAAAAATAATTTTCAAAAAAAAACTTTCTAGTAGASTTTGAAACGATTTAAAGCTAAATAATTATCAATTCATGTAAATTTATTAAATATTCCTAATTACCAATAAGTTTTTTTTTTTTAGATTGCATCGATTTGTTATATTTGTTATTACATTTGGGAATATAACGTAAGTTATGAAGTGCCAAAAGAAAACAAAATTATGGACGGCAGTCAAATTGAACAGTTAGTACAAGCTATAGACGGTAAATAAATWAATTTTTAATTAGAAATGCCTTATTCCTATGTAGATACATTAAATACTGTAATTTGCAAGTGGGAAAGAAGTATAGTTACAAGTATTCCCTCTTGAACTTTTTGCTATTTACATTTTTTCACTATTAATATTACTAGCAATATTATAAACGAGACTGATAGCGTCTCCCTTGCAGCGTGTTGAAGTATAATATAGTTAAGTAATTAACAAGCAAAGTGAATATTCGAAAATGATTTAAGTTCATTTTTATTAGCTTATTAATAGACTATAATTATGGTACATTATGGGTACATTTAACTAAAAAAAGGAGAAAAATATGTAACCATTCTGCTTTAAAGTATGTATGGTGTGCACCTTGTTCTTGAGTACCTATATGTCACTATAATATACGTGTTAAATTTGAATTCAATGATAAATCTTTGCATATGAAAAACGATTTTGAGCGGAGATGGACTAGGCCAGCTGATAATAATTTCAATATTGTATACACTACACACGATMAATTACTATAATTAATTGTATTTCAGTGTTAAAATAAAGATTGTTTTTTACATTATYAAATATAAATACTAATAGGTATACAATCAAAACGAAAAATTATTAATTTGTTAAATAAAGAACTTATGAGTTATGACAAATTTAAAAACTAAATATATTATTTTAATTAAATTACTGTTTACTGTTGGAAAAACGATCAGACAAAAATTATTAGAAAAATGAATATACTCAATACGTATAGGTACAATAATGTACATAATATTTTATATTAATTGGCATGTACATTAACCTACCTAATAATTTCTATAACAGTCATGACTCGTCATGTGCTAATCATATTTTTATAACTGCTTAATTATTCATGCCTGATAAAACATTTTAACATAAACATGCATTTTTCTGTTTTAGAAGTATTTTTGAATTACATCACGTTAGTTTTTATGCTCGTCGGATTTACTTCACTGTTCGCGAGTTTTGGCTTGAGACAAGCTACATTGAATGTACGTTAAAATCCAACATATAATTAGATTAATATTTACCTATATGTATCTTACATAATCAATTACTTCTGTATAATTGTATTATATTCTTAAATTATTACTTAATCGTAAATTGTATATGTCTGTAATCTGTATAACATAATAATTGGTATAACTTACCATAATATATATTAATTACCTATCTATATTCATTATAGATATTTCGATACCTAGTTCAAAAAAGAAACACACATAGTTTATCATTATATAGTTAGGCACAAATTACAATATTTAAGTACCTAGTTAAGTTTGTTTGTTTGTTTGTTTTTTAGAATGCTGCGCATAAGATTTATTTATGGCTTTTGATCGGCTGTGTTCAATTTGGTACAATTGTCACCATTGAGATTGTTGTGCTATTGAAACACACAAGTTTCGTCCAACATAATATAGTTGGATTCTTCTTATGCTTTGTGCTTATTGACGGTAAAATTAATATACTTATTTGTCGAATTCATACATCGGATATAAACAATAACAGTAGTACAGTACTATAAAACAGTTATGCCTTATACCAGTAGTCTCATATTCAAATTATTGSCAACGGGCCGTGTATTTTATACGTAAAAATTTCACGGGAAAAACACCGGTTTTTTACTCACTTAAGAGGACGCCACTCGGACATTTATTTTTCCCGTCTTACAATCATACCTACAACATGGACAATTTTACGTTCATAATAATACAATTTAATTTGTAATTTCTAAAATTAGAGTGAATTTACAACCTATAAAATTTAAAAGTAAGAATATTATCTAG